AGATTACTGGGGCCTGGGGCGACGGCAGTGGGGCGTACTGGGAGGTTACTGGGAGGTTACTGGGAGATGGAGGAGCAACAGTGGAGGGGCACTGGGGGGTTACTGGGGCCTGGGAGGACAGCACTGGGGAGTTACTGGGAGGTTATTGAGGTGCCGGGGGGGGACACCGGGTACTGGGTGGGCAGCACTGGCGGGTACTGGGAGGCTACTGGGGCGTGAGGGAGCAGCAGTGGGGGGGTATCGGGGAGTTACTGGGAGGTGGAGGGACAGCACTGGGAGGTACTGGAGGGGTACTGGGCTGTACTGGGGGAGGCTCCTGGCAGTTACTGGGGAATGTCGGGCAACAGTGGGGGCGGGGGGGTTACAGAGGGTTACTGGGGGATGCAGGAGGAGTTACTGGAGAATGCGGGGGGGTTACTGGGAGAGGTGCGGGGGAGGTTACTGGGAGCGCTAGGGCCGGGGCCAGGGCACTGGGAGGCGGGGTGGGGGTTACTGGGAGGCGCTGGGCAGGCTGGGAGGGGGGGGGGCTGCGGCGGCCAGTCCCGGCCTTGGCCACGCCCCGTGGGAAATGGACACGCCCCGGACACGCCCAACCCACAACCGGGCACGCCCACGGCCACGCCCTGCGCTGGGGCCGCCTCGGGAACCGGGACCCCCCAGGAACCCCCCACTGGGAGAAGGACCCCCCGGGGACTGGGGTCTTCCCTCCTCGGAAACCCCCCCGGGACGGGGAACCCCGGAACCCCTCAGGGACCCCCCGAAAGAGGGACCCCCTCGGGGACTCCCCCCCGGAGCGGCTTCTCCCGGGGGCTCCCCCGGGCACCGGAACGCCCGGCGAGCCCGGCCCGGCCCGCCCGGGGGGGCGTGGGGGTCCCTGTGCTGGGTGAGGGGTGGGGGTCCGGTGCGGGTCCCGGGGGTCCCAGTCGCGGGGGGGAGGGGGACAGTCCCGGGGAGGTTCCCGGTGTGGATGGGGGGCCCCGGGGGGGGTGGGGGGGGGGACGGCCCGGGGGGGGTTCCCGGTGGGGAGGGGGGCCCCGGGGGGGGGCGGGGGGGGGACGGCCCGGGGGGGGTTCCCGGTGGGGAGGGGGGCCCCGGGGGGGGGTGGGGGGGGGACGG